CCACCAACTTCACTTCCAGGGGTCTGTACTAGGAAGGGTCATGAGTGTGCCCAAAGGCCCCTGCATGTGAACAGCATTATCCTCCATGCTCCATCCAATTGCACTCAAGCTAAAGAATACAAATGCCGCTAAAATAAGATTTTTAAGTTTTGATTTATTAAGTGAATTGACACTGTTCAGCCTTTCAAAATGATACAGAGTCAGGAATGGTGGCTCAGAACTCTAACTCCAATACTCAAGAAGCTGAGTTAGGAGAATTTCCCCGAGTCTCAAGCCATCCTGGGATATATAATAAATTCAAGGCCAACCTGGCTTACAGATCAGAGTGTGTCTCAAAAAAATAAAATAAGGCAAAATACAAAATGATGTTAATCAAGAATACTTGATGACATGAGAAGGTATTTAGGTGAATGAAAATGTGTACAAACTATATGTATTAATTTGTAAAGTAAAATTTAAATATACTGAAGAATGTGCCATAAATGCTGCCCATTTGTCTTCATGCAACTTGAATTGTTATCACATAATAAAAGAGGCTGGTTGCTCTATAAAGACATTTATTTGGCTTATAATTCTGATGGGTAGCATGTCCGAAGAACATGATACCAGCATCCTCAACCAAGGTAAAGAAAAAGGAAGGCAAACCAGCCCTGTGCAGAAGGGCTAAGCACAGGCAGTGGCTCCCTTTATTATAACCATTTTAGCTGGAACAGACTACTGCACAAGGCCAGAGTAAGTCCCTTCCAAGGCCCAGGCAACCAATGGCCTGTCTAATTTGCCTTTGGCCTCACCTCTTAGTGGCCCCACGGGCACCCCAACATTGACATACTGTAGACCAGTTATCCAACACAGGAACCTGTGGAAGATTAGTTCCAGCTGTACGCTGACGATGGCACAAGCCTCGCCAGTGGGAGTCAGGGTGACAAATCGTTGTTGATTACTTTCACCTGAATTTTCCAAACTCTTCCCAACAAATAAATTGAGCTAATAATAAATAAAATAAGAGGGCAGTGTAGCCATGCTGAGTGTGCTTATATCAATTCAATTTTTCTATTTATTTTGAAATACAATCTTCTTTATTACATATATAACAGAATTCATTATAGAAAATCAGAGTGTGGAAAGAAACAAAAGAAAAGAATTACTCTTGAATCCATTATTCATTTATATATCTGTAAGGTTTTCTATGAAAATACATGCATTTCAATATGAACAGTTTTTGACTGGTTCCAGGGAAGGCACACTGGACAGCTTTTCTGTGGCTTCTCTAGCCAGCCCTTCACTGAGAGACTCCTCCTGGGTTGCTCTCACGGTTACTCTCTCTCAGCCTGCAGCAGATATACAGATCTGGCTCTGTATGGCCCCTTTGAGATTTCTCTAGAATTAATCTCAGGATCCATGTCTACTTTGGATCTTTGTAAGACCTCTGAATTAGCTAAAAAAGAAAAAGAAAAGAAAAGAATTGAGTCCGGCAGTTACAATTTGAGTAAGGTGAGCAGCAGTGACAGGAAAGCCAACTTAGACCCTCTTTGGGTGAAGTTTATGGCTATACAGCTGGAGATCTACATTCCTGGGGAGAATTCACTGTGATCCTGAACACACTGCTCCACTTCAGCCCTGGCTCTGAGTGCTACCAAGTGATCCTGCATAGGCCTGCTTCCTATTCAGCAAGCCTAAACTGTAGGGATTCTGACCTCTGACCCCACCTTGTTCATGCTCTCTGAACACTATTGACTCACAGCAGAGTTCTTCAACTTCCTGGGCCATTTCACTTGCCTAATTAATATTCAGCCACTTTAGTTCCAATTTTGCCTGTGACTTCAGCACCCATGATCGGATTCCCTCTTCCTCAGGAGCACTGAGCCCCTGGCACTTTGCCGAGAAAGATAGGGAAGTACCCCGCCATGCATGGATGCCACTTTGAAATTGTCTTCTCCAACAGGAGCTGGGCTCTTCCTGTTAATTCCAACTGCCAGCACCCTCTCATAAGCCTCATTTACATTTTCAGTAGACCTCCTTGCTCCAGAATAGGGTGTATTTCCTCAGACTGTTCCACATTCTTGTCTTTCCATATCAGGAGACAATGCATCTCTTCTCCTGCTCAAAGCACATCTGTGCCGTAGCTGTATCGACAAGAGTTCTGTGACTTTCTTAGGAGTCAATTTCGATCCAGTCCAGAGAATGCAAAGACAGACCAAAGGATACTTCCCAAGTTTAGTATGGTGAGCTAATGTGTTTACTGGGGTTACTTAGCAGAGTGTGACCTCAGGCAGCTGCATTACTGAAAAGTCCCCTGTACAACTTAGGGACAATTATACCATCAAGGAGTGGCCCCTCTCCCAGCATTTGTTTATGGTTTATATAAGCTTGGAGAGGGCCCATGAGCTCCTACTTTCTGAGGAAACATCCCACCCAGAGACAGTGCCTGCCCAAAACTGAGACAATCACCCAAGTAGCTCACTTGGCAGAGTACTTGCCTACCTTGTGCAAAGCCCTGGGCTCCATCCCCAACATCACATAAACTAGGTGTGGTAGCCAATTCTTATAATCTCATCATTCAGAGGTAGAGCAGGAGGCTCAGAAGTCCAAAATCATACTATGACTACATAGCAAAGTCAAAGCCAATCTGAGAGACATAAGACACTACAAAAGAGATGGGGGGGCAAGGAAGCAGGAAAGAAAACAGGAATAAATAAAAGAGAGAGAAAACTGGGACAAGTTAAGGCATGAAGGGATTCCCTGAGCTCACTGATGTAGGAGTCTCAGCCCATCATAGCTATAAAAAGCACGTCATAGGACAGAATTGTTCAAGTCGAAGCACGGAGCAAAGCAGAGCCCTATATGGGAATGGCATAGAGCAAGACATCCCCCACCACAACCCTCCCCATCCCCTGTCATGACCCACCTTCCCAACCAGGATCTGCCTTCCACAGTCCCTCCACACCCACCAGACTGCTCAGATTTTAAATTCATTCACTTAATAAACCCTACACCACATTAGAGGCTCAGGATGCGGTTGTGTCTTTAAAGGCCCTCAGCTCCTTCACAATGTGTCCTACAGCCACCTCTTTGTTAGTCCAGTCAGGTTGACAAGATTAACTGTCACAGGACCCCTGGAACATGGTCGCTTTCAGCAATGACTTGGTAAGTCCCAATCAATGTAACACACACACACACACACACACACACACACACACACACTTGCCTTGGTGTGCATGGTAATATAAGAGTATAAACTGATGATCTCTAGAAGGAATAAGCACACTTAAGAAAGGAAGACCAATGGTAAATGACTTAACTGGAATTGTTTGGGGTTTGGTTTTTTTGGTTTTGTTTTGTTTTGTTTTGAGGTGTGCATTTTTCCACTGATATAAAACTTCTTGGTTTGGGCATTTTCTCTTCCTTCTTACTGAAAAATTCAGCTTTTAGTAATGTTGATATTATGTGCTCATGATATTTATTATCCTGTAGCAAACTTAAATTAACTTCAAAGGCCAGGCATGGTACCACACACTGTTAATCCCAGCACTGAGGAGGCAAAGGCAGGCAGGTCTCTGTGAGTTCTAGATCAGCCTGGTCTATAGGGTGAAACTCTGTCTAAAAAAAAGCTTCAAAATTATATTCCACAATTCCTACTAATGTTAAGTATACTTAGTGATGCCTACAACTTCTTCCCACTATATTTTCAGTGTATTTCATACTTAAGTTATAAACTACAGACAAAAACAAAATACTTTATTCATGGTGACTTGAATTTTATACTTTGTTTTTGTTCTTTGGTTTTTAGCAGTTTAAACAGTTTCTTTTTATTGTCTAGTTTAGGGTTCTCATTCTTGACCTTTATACTTTGAGTGTCCCACAGGTTTACTCAAATTCACAGCTATGTGGCAAGATATCTCCTAAGAATCCTCACTCCCAGAGTTGTTCCCTCAATGGGATACTCACCAACCCTTCCCCATAAAAACAAAAATCAAACAAAAAGAGTAAATAAATTCATCTCTAGTTTATTCTTTCTGCAAACATGACCATATGGACATGCAAGGCCTAATCTTAGAAAGGTTGCCTTTTCTTACTCTCTATCCCTTATCATTTACTTATTTATTTATTTAGTTAGTTGTTTGTTTGTATGAGTGTGTGTATACCTGTCTGTGCACACATACCATTGTATGCATGTGAAGTCAGAGAATAGTTTGTGAGAGTTGGCTTATTCCTTCCACCTTGTGGATACCAGGGATGGAGTCATGGTGGTAAGGCTTGTTGGCAAGCACTGGTATCTGCATAACCATGTTGCCAGCCCTATCTTTTTATAAACAGTCCTCCCATGAGTACCTATGCTTGAGTTATTCTTTGTGTTCTTTGCTGTTATGAGTAATGCATTCATGCATACACTTTTGAGAGTACACGAGAAGTCAAAAGGTTAGCCAAGGAACAAATTTACAAGTAGTTTTATTAGATTCTCAAAAATCTCTTTCACCAGCCATGGAACAACAGCTTTTCGTTTCCTGCTTTCCTTCTACTCATAACACCACACCCCTGTTAATTTTCTCCTACCTTCCTGGTCACGCTTCCTCTTGCCTTTCTGCATTCCTCTTCATCTGGTCACAGCCCTGCTTTCTTCCTTCTGATATGTTCCATTCTTGCTGACTTCACTGTTGACCTCAATGAAACCCAGTGCTATTATAACATCTACACCCACATTTAAACCCAGACAGCTCCCTTGAGAATCACAGTCACTTGTCCATCTACCTACCTGATATTTCTATTGTCAGAGACCCTGCAGGTACTGAAGCAATGCAGAAAGTAGAACGCATTGCTTTACCCCCTGCTTCCCTGCTTCTTAAATGACATCAGTCACCCAGACTCTTGGCACATTTCCAGCCTTCTAGATGTTCTCATTTCTCTCTCACACTTCCCCGCTAAATCAGTTTCACCTCCTGCATATTTCTGAGATAGGTGCTACATACACAAACACACACACACACACACACAGACACACCTACCTTAATGTATTCATCCTCTCTCAGGACCTCCTCAAGGAAGCTGCTTCCATCTCAGTTCTTCCAAAAATCATCTCATCACAGCTTTCTGCAATATTTTCAAAGATGTAGGAGGATTATTAAGAATGAGGTACCGCTTAGAGTAGTATTGAATCTACAGTTACAATCATTGCTGAATATTTTATCAGGAAAAACGGTCTAGATCACGCATTGTCTAATGTGTGAGAAAGAAGTCTACATAGTAATTTAGGATTAAATCTTTCTGAAGCAGGCCTTTCCTAGGCTTAATAAAGGCATAGAGACAGCAACTGTTTCTGGTTATTTGAACCAAGAACCAGCATCAGGCTAGTATAAACAGCTTTTTGTATAGCAAATATTTCCAATCAGAGGAAAAAGGAAATTCAGCGTTAGTAGTGAGTTTAATCAAACTTAAGGAGAAAGACATTTCTGGTGGTGTGAGATTGTGATTGGTAGTTCAAGCAACCAAAATATTATTGACCCAAACTTGGTTAAGAGAGAAAGATAGATAAGGCCAGACAATGAGAGCAGACAAATGACCCCTGCAATTCTGTTCTCAAATGTAGAATTACAGTGAGATAAACACTGGCACTCTAGATGAATTCATATATGTTTACCTACAGCATAAAACTGTATAGGCTTACATTCTCTATTCATGTAAGAAAAAAGCAGGAAATTTTAAAATGAAAATTCTCATAACAAATCAATTATAAAATTGTTGTGAAGATATTGAAGATGTAGCTTAGTTAGTACAGCACTTGCCTGGCATGCATGTAGCCCTGAGTTTAATCCCAGTATTGAATAAATAGGACATGTTGTTACACAACTGTCTTCCCAGAACTCAAGGCAAAGGAAGCCAGAGTCAGAAAGTTATTTTCTACTTTATCCAGGGACTTTAAAGCCAGCCTGGACTAAACAACCTACCTCAATAATAGTAATCATCATCATCATCATCATCATCATCATCATCGTTGTTGTTGTTTTGGGGCAGTGAGAAGGGTCAGAAGGTAAAGGTGCTTGCCAACTCCACACAGTCTGCTTGTTAGCCTTTGCATACATAGTCTGCTGTCCATGAGCTAAGCCCTCTATCTTAGTGTGCTTGCTGACCCACTGAAAACAATTGGGCAGTTGTGTGTGTTAGCTTTGTTCGCAGAGGAGGGAGCTCAGAAAGGTTGTGTTATGCCTGGTAAGCCCCAGGTCTAGCCCTTCATTGAAACCCTTGTTCTGCAGTCTGCTCTTCCCAAAGCTAGGCTTGGCATCCTTGGATGTGTACCAAATTTTAATTGACAATTTTTTCTGTTAAAACTTGGGGTCTTTTTTGGGGGGAAGAGGTTGTTTAGGGCTTGGGAGACTTGGGGCCTTTGTTATTGTCACAGGGTCTCATGCTGTCCTGAGTGACCTCCAGGTCCTTAGGCAGCAAGGATAACTTTGAACTTCTCATCCTGCTGACTCTATCTCCTGGATGCTAGGATCGTTACAGGTATGCACCTACATACCCAGTTTATACAGTGCTGATGACAGAAGCCAGGGTCTTGTGCAAGCTACGCAAGCATTCTTCCAACTAAGCTACGTTCCAGACTGTTTTGATGATTCAAGAAAACAGGTGACTGTAAAATTGTATATTCTATAGTCTAGGAAAATTTATCAAAGTTATTAACCAAATACAACTCTTCTCCAATGTTCTTCTAAGTATTTCAAATCCAGAGCCTTCCATTCCACAGTCTCTCCTCTCAACTCTACAAGCGACTGCCTGGTGTTTTATGCTCTCCTCTGAGCTCTGCTCCTCTCTCCTCCAAGTATCTTCCATTATTTTAAATTTTGCAAACGCTGAGCTGTGCTCGCAACTCCTCTAGTGCCCTTCTCTCAACTGTTCTCATTTTCATGATTTTACTTTCACATTAAGACATCTTCTCCCGGTTAACTGAGTTTCCAGGGCCTTCACTTTCTTTCTTTCCCACTCACCCATCCCACCTTGTGAACTGTCAAGGCAGAGGGCCTTACACTCATCCAGTGCCCCCGACCCCGTCACAGAAATCCCATCCCCATCATGCCTCTGGAGTCATCTTCCTAAAACACCATTTTAATTACTCCCTAGTTCAAAATGTTCTAGGATAACCTCACCAAATTCAAGTTAGTAATGATCACTTATACATAAATGCATAAGCCCTATGTTCATGACACTGGTCCTGGATACACTTTTCACTTCCTGTTTAAATCATCTCTTGTATACAACAGCACACTAAAGAAGCAGAACCTTCCCTTCGTTGTTCCATACTCATTGGCTGGCTTGAGGTGGAAGGACATGTTTTTGAGTGTGTGTGTTTGTGTGTGTGCGCGTGCACATGCATGCGTGCACGCGTGTCTACTTGTTGATGCAGGTATGTGTGTGATTGTGTGCATGCACACGTGGAGGCCAGATTAATTCCTGTGTTACTCCTCAATTGCTCTCCACTCTTAGGTTTTATTCAGCGAGGACAGTTGGCCAGTGAGCTTCATGGATCCAGCTTTCCAGTCCTCCTGATCCTCAGCACTGGGGTTACAGCAGGCATTGCCTTGTTGCCTGCTTATGTGGGTTCTGGAGATCCAAACTCAGGTCATCTTGCTTGCAGGGCAGACTCTTTCCAGACTGAGCTATTTCCCAAGCCCCTGGCATGTGATTTTACTCTTGCTTTCCCTACTGAGTGGGGCTCTGTTTCCCCTCACCAGCTCCTGCTACTCCCACTCCCTGTTCAGATGCACAGTCCTCCACAGAACCACTCCTGGATTCCCATCATCTCATATTTGTGTCAACCTTTTGCCCGATTTTCACTGTCATTCTTAGAATCAAAGTCTTTAAGCAATGAAAAGCGCACTTAGTCATCGCAACACTCAGCATGCACAAAGACAAGGAAAACAAGTAAGCGGGAAGGTGAGGCAGCCTGCCGGGTAGCACAGACTGAGAGTGGCAGTCAGGACTGGAGGCGTCTGAAAGTGGCCCCATCACCACAGCTGCTCCATCAGGACTTAGGTGCATTCTGCCTCTGAACAAATGAGCAATTTACTATAAATATCTGACAGCTTTATGATTTGGTGTTATTTGTGTGTGTGAGAGAGTTCATTGTTCCCTCTACTTTATCTCTGCATCCCTTAAGCAGTTAACATGCTAACTTGTCTAAAATATTATTACAGGACCAAATAAATGAGTTTTAAAAAAGACAAAAGATCCCTACTTTGGGCAGAAATCTGCAAACTGTTTGGCTTAAAGACTGAGTAAGGCAAGTGAGAATTTATCTAGACATTTTTTAATGCAAGCAATAATGTTTTCAATTGGTTCAAGTTTCACATTGAGTTCTTAGAAATCTGAAAACTGAATTGAGAGTCTCCAATAGGTTGACAGGCAAGGGAAAAAGGCCAGCAGTAGAGGTGCAAACATGCTTCATCTGTTCTCTTTCCTGAGGCTTTGGACTTTCAACTCAAAGTGTAATTATTTTTAACTGTCGTTGAGCCAACCCTCAAGCCATCTCACAAGGGTATTTTTTCGGAGAGAGTAAGTAATAAATTATTAGCAACTTAATTTTTCACCTTCTGCCTATAAAATGTACTTGGGTGCTTTTCAGCATTTGTTTCCACAGGCATGTATATATGTATATACACACCTAGGTACACCCACAAGTCACACCCCACATATCTGTACAACTGACGTATGGTACAGGTCTCTTTTAAAATGTGCATAACCATAGCTGTAGAGGAAAACTCCACAGCCATGGTGATAGTCACAATTCATACTATGGCAGTGATAATTGCTAATTGCCATCATCATACTATTTAAAGCTCAGTTCTTGTGCCTAGCATTTTCTGCAGTAGAGTTGTAAGCAATGACAACACATCTTAAAAGTAAGAGATAAAGCTAGTAGCTTCATATGAGGCTTGAGAGTCAGTGCTTCTGGATAGTTCTCAGGAGAGGACGGAAAACAATTGATATCTCCCTCGAGGATAAAAGCAGCAAGATAAACATGTCTGCACTATATGTATTAGTACAAGGCCTTCTTAGCCATTTGTCACAGAAATAGACTGATTTCCAACAACAGTTTACATCAAACTCTGTCTTGAGACAAAGAAACTGAGGTTTGACGGAGATCGAGGTATCTGCTCGGCAACATAGCTTCCTGAGCACCCTTAACTCACTTAGCCCCTGGGTTCCTGCACCCCTCATCCGTTTTCCTTTCAGGGTTTCGGGGCATTGTTGCTTCAGTTTGCACAGAGTTAGTTGGAGGTAGGCACCATAGGTTTGATTGATACAGCAATTTGCATCTCAAGGCGGCACTCGATAAATACAGTGCCATGAAAGGCTACTCTCTCACCAGCCAATTTCCCCCTCTGGGCTGACTTTAGAAGCTCATTGATGTCACTTCCTTCCTCAGTCAGCAAGTGAATTTTCTTTAATTCTCAAGACCAGCTGTCCATGCTGTCAACAGAAAGTTATTAAAATTCCTTTAAAGTGAATAAAAATAGCCTAAAAGCAAATGTACTTGGAAACAGGAAAGAATCAGTATGCAAAGTCCACAAACCTCTGAGCAAAATAATGTTGATCCAACCAGAGATTTCAGGCACTGTATATTCAACATGTTAGAAAAAAATAATTAAAGGATGCAAAAGCATGTGCTGCTTAATCTTTTATTAGTGAAAGTTAATACAGTTAGAATTTAGCTCCATAAATTCCAATTCTCCTTTTCAAATATGATTTGAATAAATTGAGAGATGATTTAGGTTTTCTTTAAGTGGGGTTTCCTTCCTGTGTTATGTCATGGGTCAAAGAACATTAAATATCCACCAGACTAGGAAGATCCAGAAGGAAGGGAAATATTATCTCTGACAGCCATCAGAATTGCTGGAGCCACAAAAATAATAATGCAATTATGCTTTTAACTTATTAGGGTTTCAACAGCTCAAAGAGAGAGATCGTTTATTTCAAATACAAAGAGCCAGAATAATTGGGCTGAAGAAATGGTTTAGTTGGGAGTATTTGCCCCATAAACATGAGTACATGAGTTCAGTTTCCAGAAACCATGTGAGAACACATGGCAGGGTGGC